ACTTTCTTTCTTTTAATTTTTTTTATATCCGACTATATCTTAGCTGCCATAAATACAAGTGATTAATGGTAAATGCCATAACTTTGAGCTTGTATATTTTTATACCCTTGCAGAGGGTATTATAATTTTGTCCAAAAGTGTGCAACGCAGTGAAGGAGACATCTCCGACCCTATAAAGTATATATATTCTTGATCAGGATCACCTCCTGAGTTGATATGAGCATGTCCGTCTGTCCGTCTGTCTGTCCGTCTGTCTGTCCGTCTGTCTGTTTCTACGCGAACTAGTCTCTCAGTTTTAAAGCTATCGTCTTGAAACTTTGCACACACCCTTCTTTCCTTTGCACGCAGTATATAAGTCGGAACGGCCGGGATCGGCCGACTATATCCTATAGCTGCCATATAACTGATTGATCGGAAATGGTATAACTTTGGTGTTTTTAGAGTTAGAGAGTTCAAATTTGACATGAGAGCTATTTTTGGCAAAATAATACGACATGCCAAATTTCAAAAGGATCGACTATATCCTATAGCTGCCATATAACTGAACGATCGGAAATGACCCAACTTTCGTGTTTTTGAAGATAGAAAGCTGGAATTTAGTACAGACTCTATTTTTGGTTGGTTGATCCAACCTACCAAATTTCATAAGCCGACTTCGGCCGATGTTTGTTATATCCGATGTTTGCGATATATATCCGGTTTTAGCTGCAAGGGTATATAAACTTCGGCTCCGCCCGAAGTTAGCTTTCCTTTCTTGTTTTTTCAAAATTAGAATTTTAAGAAATCATTTTTATAACTAAGCTCCTCTGTCCAACTATAACCGATATTTACAGTATATATATCCCATCCTATATTATCTTATTTCAAGTTACTGCAAGGGTATATCAACTTCGTTTCAAAATATTTATTCCTTTCTTGTTTTTCCTCGTTTTTAAACTAAAATTTATCGCTCTGCACTTCACGGCCTTCGCTTTTACGCGTGAAATTGTAATAATTAAAGAAGAGAGTGCCGGGAAATTGAAAAACCATTACTTTTGCCACCACCATTACTGCCCACCCCATGGATTTTCCATATTTTGAAGGGGACCTTCCATAAAATTTGACGAAAAATCTAAAAAATATGATGTCCTCAGATTTTGATGCAGTTTAGTGGAGAATCGATCCATGATTCGTTTAAGGTACTCCGCTTAAGAATCGGAAGAATATTCGCAGAGATATGGCCTTCTCAGTGGGTCATGCTGCCCACCCTATGCATTTTCCACATTTTGAAGGGGACCTTCCTTAAAATTTTACGAAAAATCGAAAAAATATGATGTCTTCAGATTTTGATGCAGTTGGCCTTCTTAGTCGCTGTGTCATAGTTTTGTGTTCGGCGGAGATATGAATGAAAGCGACGTTTAAGCTGAACTATTTCCAGATTTGTATTAAAATTTCCATTAGAAAATGTCTTAAACATGTCGAAATGTAACCAATATTGCACTTCCATGCCCCAACTGTACGGATATGATGTGTATCTTGGCCATATCATGAGCCACAAATTGCAGCTGCTGCTATTTAGTGCCGCAACTTTCGGGTCTGCAGCTCGACTCGAGTTGAAATGAGCCAACAACTTGCCATGGACAAACACACGTTAGAGGCCAGAGGGTCCTTACGAAAATGTCTAGATGGAGTGTAGTGGAGTGGAGATGTTGAAACATGTTGCAATAAAACTAAATCGAATTCAAACACAAAGTTCATTTACAGTTCATCAAGTCAAGACGGGGTAAGGGTAAAAGGCAAACAAAATGTGGCTCTCGGCTACCGGAATACTTTCGGGCAAAACTTCTAAACTTGGCTTTTATGCTAAATTAAATGTGCTTCGGGTCGGTGTTGAGCCACTCAACTGGATACTGGCATGAGAACCGAACTCTGAGGCGTTTATATGTTAAATTGATTTGCCAAAATAAGAGTTCAGGTGAAACTTGCATCCGGAAAGTCAAAATAGTTTTCGGCCATTTACCCATTAGCATTATAATGGGCCATTGATACCCACCACATATACAATATTGCGGGCTAAATATCTTTTACCAAAAACTGAAAGCATCTGCGGTTTGGCATTGTCGACGCCAATTTTCCGGTTATCTGGGTGACACACAAAACTTTTTGCGGAAAAATCAACCGAAAATACCGCGGAAAATGGTCATTGATTTCGATTAATTTTCGATGGCTTTTTTGGTCGATTTTTCAACCTCTGACGCTCTTTTTAGAACCAAAAATTTGCTAATTGTGTATGTAAAACGAATCAGTTTTTTTTTTTTTAGTTTTGCGGTCTCCACATCCCTGATGTTATGCATTAAATAAATTTGCTGATAATTTGATTTTCCGCAAAAACAGTTCGCCACGTGTTTAGCATACTTTTGTGGATGGCCGACAAGTTGAACGGAAAATATGGCCAACAAGCATTATTTTGTGCAGCTGCTGAGAGTGCACAATTGGCATAAAAAGGAGTTAGTCGAAAGCTTTTGACCATTAAGCGATTTATTCAGGATTAGATTGAAAGGTTACTACGTCTGACTTATTTCTAAGCGACTGGAGACTTCGAATCTTTTCAAGTTTTTAAGTAAATGGTTGAGAAATTCCCGCAATAAAAAGTTATTGAAGGGGATACATGTTTCTATGATTAAAATATTTTAAATACATTATTAAAGATAAGTATCCTTGATTTTATATTTTTTTTATTTTATATCTGGTTTAAACTACAACAGACACGTTGGATTTGTTATGTCTCGAATGAGACTAAGTAGGTACATACTTGCCATTGATAATGTGTACTTAAGAATTCCCAACGACATCCGCACCACACTTGATTTTGGTTTTCGCCGTAATTTGCGTGCTAATTTCCTGCTCCAGGCTTCGCCTGACATTTCCACCAACGACGGGGATTTGCATATCTTTTCAGCCGCAGCATGTGGAATGCAAGAGGGTCCTCTTACCGAAAATCCTTTTTCCCCGCCTGCCCTCGCTTCATACTAAGCTCATCCTGTATCCTGCTCGACTGTTACCAAAGCTTGGTGATGAATCCACTTCATATCATCTATACGTTTTGACAGCTGCTTCTGGGGTTTTTGGCCACCACTGCTTTTGCGGTTTCTAAGTTTGGCTTTTGACTCGAACAGACATTCGGTCTCGAAATTACCATGGGCCGGATAGTCAGGGAGACTGGCTGTAGTTATAGCCCGTCTTGTGGGTAGCTAAGGAATTTTCATCGCTTAATTGACATGCTTGCTGGAAAAGTGATTAGGTTAAAGTTTAAAGACTTTTAGGCTTAAAGATGGAAACGTAAACCTGTTATCTTCTATTATGTCATTATTCGAAGAATCAGATATAAAGTATATGTAATATAAAATTAAAAAGCGGTACGGGAAAATGATCAGACTTACTATCTGGGACACTCCACGTGCCGAAAAGTAATCTTTAGCTCCAATTTCGTTTTGCTTTCTTACTTTATAAGAAAATACTTCTAGCTCCAAGGATCTAGTACGCAGCAAATTACTCAGGCAGAAATTTATGGCGGCGGTACTTGTGTACCGTCGGAACCTAGACGGATCCGATTGCGAATCGTGAAGTGTCCCACGCAGAGGCCAAGAAGTACTCAGAAGTGCACGGCTTCCTTTTCTGGGAGACCTCATCTAAAGGCGATGTTAGAAGACGGAACTATTTGCGTGAAATCTGTGAGTATTGGTAATGTTTTTAAGTTATAAACAACCATTAATGCTTGACTTTCAGTGTTAAAAATTATACGTTCAGGGTATGAGGAACTACATAATGTTTGTGCTAAAAATAATAAATAAATAAAGCAGTCAATCGACTTTGATTGAGCCAATTTGGCTTCTAGCATATCTAGATGGCGACATCATGACTCAATTTAATTGGAAGCCAACACAAACTGTTACCCTTTTGACATTTAATTAATATGCAAATGACGGCGAAGGGCTCGGAATTCCATTCGCAGCATCTCTCTCAGCATATGCGATGGCCATTTGCTTGGCCTGCGCCAAGGATCACAGGACTCGCTGGCAGAGTAAACAGAAAGGAGCAGGAATTAGAGAGGCAGCTTAGTCATTCCGCCAACGTCGCAGATTTTGTGCATGGTGGTATGGCTATGGGAGGGAAAAAACAGGGCGTATCCTTGATATCCCGTGCGGTGTCCCATAGGAATGCCCGCTTGGAATTTACGAGTCGCTCGAGATTAGTTTTCCCTATGGGTGTTTTGCCTTAATTGCGCCCATAGACTTTGGCGAGGGGCGTGGCCGAGTGTCGCCGCGTCAGCAAACAAGGCATGCCACATACGTCGCAGCCGCCGGCACAAGATGCCCCAAGATTGGTGTCGCTGCATTGTAAATATTGCATTGGGGCAAGCTCAAATAAACACACTTATCGCATCGAACAGGGAGTCGTAAATATATATATACATAGAGATATATGTGTGTGGTGTTGTTCCACCGGTTTATATCTTATTTATTTCAATTTTTTGCACATTTGTTGTCGCGCAACGCGTGTGTATCGAGTGTTGTATGGTGTGTATGTTGTTCGGCTGGAACATTTTATTCGAATATTTTCATTCGTCTCTGCCACCACGTTTTATCATCCGTTGGGATGCAATTTAAAATATTGCACGGACACAAGTCCTTTCGGGTCCTTTTCGCAGCTCAATTTATTTTTCTGTTTTTCACTCGTTTATATACATTCGTTTTTTATTTTTTGCCGGTCCTCACCATTGACGTGGCCGTTGAGTTGAGTGATTGCAATAAATTATTACTGAAAGTTTATCACGACCAATGGAGCAGAGCTTGCAGCATACTACGTTCCTTGCAGTCAAGGAGTCCAATTCAAGAAGAATTGCCACTTTTTGATGTTAAAAGATTGAAACTAAAACGTGACGTTTTCAGCGATATTAGTTATACATCGGATGTATTTTTATTTCAAGGTGCTTTTACAAAATGGTTTTTGGTAAATTAGTTCTAACGTGACTCAATTTTTTTAAGTATGTGGTTATCCTTGTCCTTGGATCTCCTACGTCTCTTGCGCTGATTTTGCTTCTTCCAACTTAAAACCCTCTCGCGCTGTTCTATCACGATCGACAAGGCACTCTCTGAGAGTAGGTCGTCCCTTGATAAAAAAAATCGCAGGATATCAATCATCTCGAAGCCCATGAAGAGAGCACAGAACTCCAAAGCAAGTAGGATAAAGGACGCCGAATTATCCTGAATTAGCTTGACCAGCCAGTCTCGTTCCCCGGGCCCATGATGCCATGCCATATTAACGAAGTGATGAACAATTATGCTGAGGGGAAACCACGCAATGAGCAACAGGACTTGGACCGTTACGCAGAGGGTCAGGAACTGCATAATCTTCTCCCGAACATCGCCGCAATGTCGATCGTAATCCCAACTTTGGCAATGGATTTTCAAGAAAGCCATCAAGATGAGATATATAAACACAGTCGACTCCTTGGTGGCCTCGATGGGATTGTAGAAGAGATTCGTCTGATGGCAAAGAATGGAAGTGATCAATGCACAGATATAGACTTTCTCCATGTTGTCGATCTTTAAATAATTCTATTATAAATGTTTAAAAGCTAACTAAAATTTTTATCACAACTGAGCATGTGGAGATCTTCCTAAAAATGGAGTTGTGTTTGTGGCGATTTGTTTTAAATTGTTTTCATCGCCTACTATTTTTAGAATTTAAGGTCGATAATTAATCGGGTAATTTTTATAAAAGAAGTTAGATTTTTCAATAAAAACGGTGCCTTAAATCTCAGCAGGCGGTGCTACGGAGTTCACCTTGGACAACATTGTGACAATTTTTTTTCACATTCTTACTGAATTTGAGAGCTGTAAGACCACTTCGGAATTTTAATAATTTGTTATTTAATTTCATTGGAAAAATGTTGAGAAACAAGCCGCTGCTATCGCATGTAAGTTATTTTATTGTTATTTTTTTGGGCTATTTGGTTCTGATCGGATTCGATTTTGGTAGAGATTACCGCAAGCCGGAGGATTTTCACGCGATTTTCGTGAAAGTCTGGGAATTGAACCCTTGATCAGGCGGCCCGTTAACGAAAACTACAGCGACTGGAATGGTGGGCCGCGCAATTGGAATGGCGGTAACGGTGGTGGGCAGGATATTCGTCCAGCCGGCACCCCACCGCCGCCTCAAAATCTGGAATGGAATAGTCCCAGTCCTCGGCGTAATGCCTCTCCGATGGGACCACGTCGACGTGACGATTCGCCGGTTGGTAATTCGAATTCCACGATGAATATGATGGGATACCGCAACTTTAGCTATTCCCAAAATATGTGCATGGATGGGGAGCCGGATCGCTACATGCCTAATGACAATGTGGATGTGGTGCGGATCTATCCACAAGAGCCGCAGGATTTCCGCTACTTGATGCCCCAGGAGCCCTATCCGAGAAATAAGCAAAACTTCGACGGGGCTCGTGAGCAGAGCTTCGGATACCATAGCTTCGATGGCTATCGTCGACCCGATTCGTCCTTCGAAAACCGGAATGACTGTTCGATTGAGATCGTTGATCAATCCGGGGAGAAGGATTATGGGCACTGGCAGTCATTTGACGGCGGGAACGAACTAGTGATCAAAAAGAAACGCGAGGGGGAGCCACCCGCCGCCTTGGGTCCACCGTCGGTCAAGCGCATGCGTCCGGAGGTTTCCGACATGGTGTTTATCATCGGTGGCTACAAGCTGCCGTACGTTACTCTTTCCATCGAGGCCCTGCCCCAGCCGGAGAACAAGTCGTATGCGGTCAGGTTTTTCAAGAAGACCCCCAACTATCGCATCCATCCGAAGACCAAGGATACGAACGTTTACCGGGTGTACGATGAAATGTTGGAGCGTTTTGATTTTGGGAACGAGGAGGAGGCCGGACGTTTGGGGGACGTTTCCCACCCGGGGTTTAATCCCACCCGTTTCCATGACAGTCTCAGCAAGGAGTGGACCAAGATCTACCGTGGACGCAACTATCGCAGCTGGGAGGGCTGGTGGAAGGATTTCCGCAACATCGATGTGGATATTTTCGCTCAGCTCGACAAGTTCGAGGACTTCAATGTCAAGTACAACTTTATGCCTCCGGCGGGACCTTTGGACGTATCAGATATAATCAAGAATACTTACATAGCCTTGTCCAAGAATCGCAACAACTACTCCGGGAACATGCGCCAAATGTACAACATCATGAACCCTGGAATCTTGATGAGTCTTCCCATGGAAGCTATTGGTCAGCTTGAGGACTATATTCGCAATGTGCCTAACCACTTGTGGGTGTACAAGATGCGCAGCATGATCTATACCTGGTACAACTACAGCCAGGTGATCCTCAACAACAAGGATGCCACCGATAAGAAGACACAGTTCGTCACCAAGGAGTGGAAGAGTCCTGTCATCCACTGGATGGCCAAGCAGGCCTTCTTCGAGCTCAAGGCCATAAGCAAAATCGAATATCCTGATTACAAGATGGTGTATGGAAAAGGCAACAAATCGGTCAAGAAATAAATTTGCTTTAATCCAAATGTTTAGTAGGCGCTGAGGAGAACCAAGGATCTTCATTTGTTTCTTGATATAATATCTTTATCTTTATTATCATATTGTAACCAACGAACTGAGCTTATTAAAAAGTTCATTAAACTAGAAAGCTATTAAATAAATATTACTGTATCAGCACAAATCCTAAATCCTTTCTGGTTGACTAATTTTCTAAATATGATTAAAGAGGTAAGCAATATCTTTCTTATAATTGTTTCATAGTTTGATAAATTTTATTTAAGAAAAATGGTAAACAACAATTTTTATATTAAACCAAAATGCAAAGTTCCTATTCCCTGCTAAGCTACTTATTTCAAGTGAATCCATATTCCGAAACCTGGCGCAATTTATTCAGCTCCACTTGCATAAAGTTGTTTAATTTGTTATCCCCAAAGTGCACCTGAGACTCTTGGCTAAAAGGAAAAGCCAAAAAAAGAAGAAAACGAAAGAAATAAACAAATATATGTATGAGGAAAATAAAAAAAGTAAAAATGAAAAACAGGCAAAGGCAAATGAATAAACCAACAGCAACGGAAAATGACGATACAAACCAAAGAAAAGCTACAAAAAAATGCAAAGCGCTACTGCATATTAATCCGACAGAGTATTTCACTCAGCCTCCAAGTATCACAGTACAGGGTGCTATGATTAAAAAGGACAGTACAGGGACTATATTAAAAAATATATTGCAAGATGGGGTACTGAAATGGAGAGTTTAGTTTGATATAAAGCTTTGAAATCTATATTATAAATATATTTCTTCATTATTGTATTATTTTTCTAGTCTTCATAAACTATAGAACATAGAACAAAAATATCTTTAGATTTTTTTCCTGTGTAGGTAGGGCCATCAGGATACATTGGAAAAGGACACGCTGCCTGCGAGATGGGCGACCGCGAAAGACATTTATTGTATCCTTAGCGCGGCTGACAGACGCGTGCTGAGACGATGATGAATTTGCCGCCGCCGATGGCTGTGGCCCCGCCCCCAGGACCACGCCTACGGTGCCAGCCTCCCTCCCCATCACCCAGTCGAGGGTACAAAGTGAAAAACTCGGCTGGCGGGCCAACGAAGCGACAGAAATGACGACAGGCAGCCTTTGGGACGGACGACTAGCAGAGTGACGAAAAAAATGCAAATAAAATGCCGGCTTATTGAGTCAGTGGTGCCGCAATGAAAGGCGGTGGGAGATGGGTGGCAAACAAGACACTTTTTAGTTGATTGAAAAAGGTGATGTCAAGGTTTTTTCACTTTTCTTCTATTTATTCCCTCTTTGTTGACCTTTTTTTGCAGCTTTTCGTTAAATATGATAGAAGTTTTGCACTTTGATAAGCAAATGCTTTGGGTCTGGTGGGCTTTAAAGTGGCCAAAAGGCGGGATCGAGGTCGAAGGCGGGGGGGGATAACGAATGAAAGTGGCCTGTAATCGCTGAAACGGGTAATACATAATTGAGTAAAAGAAAAAGCTCATAAAGACTCATTCCAATTGCCCAAGAAAGGCAAATATTTTTCAGTAAATTTATCAAGGTTGAAAAAAGTTTTATAAAACTTTTTAAATAATGAAAAAACTAAAGGAAATTCCTGAGTATAATATTTTTCTTCCATATTTGGCAAATGCAAATGGCCACCCTAAAAGTATGCAATGGCTTTCCGTTTCTTAATATTAGAAATCGATGATTTATTGAATGCCAATCTAACATTCATTTGTTTTAATGAATAATTATTTCCCTCAGCCTTCCTCCATATATTAACCTCTGCCATTTTAAAGCTTACATTATCTGGCAGGCGTTTTCCCATTTTCCATTTATCAAGATGAGTTGGGTGCAAAATCCAAAAATATAAACTCGCCCACGCAATCACACACGCAAAACCTAAAAAGAGTGCGAGAAATGTAATAAAATACGAAAAGGAACAAATATGCAAAAATAAAAGGCGTCAGGTGCAGACAAACAGATTCACACCCGAAAGCCGGTGTATCACACTGGGATATCCTGTTTACGCATCCATCTCCAGTCCAGAGGCTGCTTACTTCGGGGTCCCGCGATATAATATTTAATTTAAAATTGTATCCCCCGGCAAGCTTTTTTTTTTGCTTATGACTTTGCGAAGGCAAGCGAGCGGCAAATGAAAAAGTGTCGCACTTTGCCAAGGAGTATTTTATTTAAGGACCTGTCTGTCGCTAAATCAGATTGCAATGAAGACGGCCAAAGGCAGGAAGCGATTTCCAAGGATTTGTGTCCCGCTGTCCCAGTATCCCCCAGTGACACTTTTCGCGCGAATGCCACTAAGTTTGGAAATTCATATGGAAAGGTTACGAAAACCTTCCGAGGCTTCAATGATTAAGTTTACTCAAAGGAAACCGATTCGATTAAGTTGGAGAGTCTTGATATATGTGTGTGAATTTATTTTTTTGCAAATATCTTTTAGAAGTACAACGTTTGCACATTCAGTTCATATACGGCAATTAATTAAAATTCAATTACCAACAAAACAGGCACGTACACAGCCACATCCACACAGTCATGCTCAATCATAATTTGAAATTTTTGGCCGAAAAACCGAAATTAACCAAAATGAAGAGCGTCAGGAGCAGGCAGGACAATGTCGACTGGTTACAATAATTATCATGTGTTTGCGGTGTTCCTTGCTAATTGGAAATTAAATCAGATTCTCATTAACTGAGAACCGGCCCCACACATAATTCATTTACTCAAATTTGCCACTTTGAATTGCACTTCTCCAGGATCCGTGTGCCGTGTCCATATATCCTGTGATATCATTATCACCTTGTGGAATTGCTGAAATATTTGCAGAAATATTTGCAAATATACCCAATAATTCAACCATTAATAAATAATTCTTTATGGAGGAAATGCGAGGTGACAAAACAGGGGAAATCCGACAGATGAATGATATTTGCGAAATAAAAAATCAATTAATTCGCCATTAATTACAGATTCATTACACAAGTCAAAAATCATATGAATATGAAATCCGTTTCCATCACTGTATTTGTACAGTCCAGCATGCCCTTAACGATTTAAAAATCAGAATTTAAAGTGAAGAGCCTTGCGAGACATTTAATTTGCTAAAAAAAAAAAAAATCCAAGAATAGCTAACCATCGAGTAATGCGAAATACTAGACAAGCTGAAGGGCAAACAAACAAGTTTTCATAAATATCAAATTATATTGTTGCACATTTCACTTTTTCAGCAAAAATACTCGAATGCCAGGCATAAATCATCATCGGTGTTGTTAACCTGCCATGTAAAGTGAAGCTCGCTTTTTGTTTTGACATAACTTCTGCAATAACTAATAAAATGCGAATGTTTGCAGGTTGCATAAATTGCCAAAACATTTGTAAATATTTCAGTTGCATGCATATTCCTCCCCTCGTTTTTTTGGGGATTTTTCGGACCAGCGAGAGAAAAGCTAAATATTTATTCAACAAATATGAAATAAAATGCATAGGCACTTTTCATACCCATCACAGATGGCCACCCATTCACCGCCCACTTAACGAAGTTTGTGAGAACATTTTCCACATTTCGACTTCTCTGCTCTGGCATTGCATGACAAATTGCATTTGAGGTTTTTTTCACATGGACATTGATTTAATTACCGAATGAATTTCCGTTTTCCATCCGTCCGACAATGCCGAGAAGAAGTCCAGAAAGAAGTTTAATTTCCCTCAAGTCTGGTTTGTGAGGAATTTGCATATGCACCGAATCCGAATCCTTTTTATGACTGCCTGTCCGGTTGTCCGGCCGTCCCGGTGTACGGCTGTCTGCCTGGTTGAGTAATTTCATTATGAGTTTTAAGACTTTTAATTAATTTAAAAAGTGAACAATTTTACACTCTTTCATAACAACTCCGGCTGTCGACCGGCGGTCACCCAGACCCAGACCCAGACCCAGTCCGGCTTTTGTCTGCCGCAGTCGACCCAAGCCGGAAGAGTGGCATAATTTCCGCACCGAACTTGATGCAAACATTTCATCTGCATTTCGAGTGGACCAGGACCAGGACGAGGAACCGGACCCTTACCCGGACCAGGCATCATTTCGGGCATCGACAGCATCAACATCAGCATTCAATTAATTTTCCGTACTTTTGCCTTCCACAAAAGCGAAACTTTTGCATTCCGACATCCGGCATTGTTGCCAACTTGAATGCTTATTTACGGACATAAAAGTCGTAGAGCCCTGCTGTATGGCTCTCCGGCTCTGCGGATTATGCCCGGACATCATAAAACTTGTATCGACTCCTTAACTGGCAAATGAAAAGCCAAGCATCCCTGACAAAGCCCAATGAACATTTTTTGCTTACATTACATCATTCAGAAAGTTTGAGTTTATTTATTCAAGTATTTTACAATTATAAGTACATAGTCCAATTTTTACAAAAATAACTAAACATGCCATGACTATAATGCTAGTTTAGTTTGTTATCCCAATTATTTACAATTCACAAACCTAAACACACTACATACTTTCCAACTTAAAGATTTAAAGTTTAAACTCAAAAAAAAATTAATATAATTTTCAAAAATGTCAGCCGAAGTGGAAGAGATGTTGAAACGTTTTCAGAACTTCAAGAACGTCGTAGGGATCATGGTGATCGACAACGACGGGATTCCCATCAAGACGACCATGGAGTACAACCTCACACTCCATTATGCGGCCGTGATGCAAACCCTGAGGGAGAAGGCCCAGCAGGTGGTCCTCGACCTGGACGCCACCAACGAATTCACATTCCTCCGTCTTCGAACACTAATGCACGAGGTGCTGCTCTGTCCGGAACAGGATTACTTCACCGTTGTCCTGCAACTTCCCTCTGACTAGATGAGAGACCATTTAGAGATCTCCGTTTCAATTCCGACCCAGTTTGCTGCAAAAAATGAATTACAATTAAATGAAATTTAAATGAGAGATATTTGGTTATTGAAATGGGTGATTAACATATTCACAATATTTTCGATTTCGTCATCCGGCGGATTCCATCATTAATGGCAGTCGGTGCTGGAAATTATTTGCTCTGGGGATTGGAATTGAATTGGAATGCCATTTGCGTGTGGCTTGCAGTCTTATTCAATATGCATCCTTTGCCATCCTTGCGTATATGTGTGTGGGTATATATCCGTTCCCCGTATCCTTTTTTTCTCCAGTCCCGGGCAAACTCATTTACAATAAATGAAGACTGACTGAGGCAGCCACGAAACAAATAAACTTTTTTGCGGCCCTTGCCAGGATGCCAGCATGCAAGGATGTAAGGATGGCAGAGTAGCCGAAAAAGGGTGAAGCCAGAAGGTGTAGCAGGTCCTCCATTGGGTTTTGCTATTTTTCATTTAATTAAATATTTTACATGCAAAGTGCATTATGAGCATTGGGGGAGTCGAGGCCACTACCTCGCCGATTCCTCCCTCTACCGATAACTCAGTAGAGTCGAAAGGACTCCCTGGGGCCAGGACATCGATGCCGATACCTATCCATCGGTGCATTGCTGACGAGCTGTTCACTCGTGATAATTACATAAACATCTGACTGCATCGGCAGCAAAATTGTTGCACGGGTCGAGAAATAGCATAAAGTTCGACTCCGGGACCTTAGCTGCCTTGCAGCAGTCAGGTGTCCTTAATGGTGTTGCAATGGTTGAGAGGAGTTGAGCTGAAATTCATAGCTGAGTGACTTCGGGAAATGTTGAGCCAGGAGACCGGATGAAATCGAAAAAGTGCACAGCTCAGTTTTATTTTTGTTTGACTTTAAAATCTGCTATTGATAAGAGTTTTTATTTTATTTTAAAAGCTTTTTGAGACACTTATCTCTTGTAGTATTTTTGGAACTCTAGACCTTAACCCAAAGCTGATCTCATCTACTATCAGTCAATCGTGACGGTAGCTAGTTGGGTCTTTAAAAGGCTGCAACGGTTCTGCAGGCTGATCAGTTTTTTTGGAAAATATGGTGCGAACATCAAGTGTACTTTTGTGGCTCGGCTGCCTGTTCCTTTTGGGAATTTACACTGAAGCAGCAAGGATACGAAAGGCTGCCAGTCCTGATGATCAAATTATTTTTAATCGCTTGGAGAATGCCCTCGACACTTCGGTGGATCCTCAAGAAGACTTCCACAAATATGCCAGTGGTGGTTATGCCACTGGCGAGGAGGATTACAGTCTGTTTGTGGCCACACAGCAGAAGATAGTGCCGCAGTTCCTGGAAATGTTGGAAAAACGGGAAAACAATTCGTACCAATCGGGCAGCCTGGATGATAAGGTGTCCCAGTTCTACAACTTCTGTCTTAACAACGGCAACGTTACCTTCTTGGATGTGGTCCAGCCGGATGTGAACCTGCCCTGGCCGTACAATGTAACCGAGGGTCAGGAGTGGCCCAAGGATCGGTTCCAGTGGCTCAGGACCCTCGCGAAACTACGTCGCTATGGTATGAAGAATGCCTTTTTTCGGTTGGACCTCAAATGGGATGCGGAGAGTTCCCTCTACCGGGTGGTGATCAAAAAGCAGCAGTTCGAAACCTCCAACGACTACATTCAACTTGATAAGAGTGATCTGATTGATATGGGATTCGACTACGCTCGAGCGGAACCACTGGACTTTGATATAGACGATCTTCAGGACGATATTAAGGCGCTGGTGAAGGAAACCGAAGATCCTGTGCCTGTGTTTTTGAGCCTACAGGAGCTGGAAAGCAAACATGGAGTCTCCCTCGGTTCGTACCTCGAGATTGTGTTTGGTCACCCGTTTTCTTCCAGCTTCCAGGTTGAGGTGGAAGACCTGGACTATCTGGTTAAGATATTCAAGCTGATAAATGACAAGGATCAGGAGGTGGTGGCCACATATATGATGGATCGATTTATTCTGTTTATGCGGACATCGGCTCGTCTGGAAGGTGGATGGGAACTGAAGAGCGTGTGCATCCAGATTTTGAGAACCTCTATGGAGTTTGCCAGCAATCTCCTGTTTGAGGAAAATATTCTGGGCGAGGAGAAGCTGAAGGAGTTCCAAAGCCAAATGGATCGTATATTTGCAGCGGTTCGGAAGCAGTTTAATCTTCGGCTGGACAGGAGCTCTGTGAATGCTTCCTTCACATCTTGGTTGCGGAAGAATCTCACCTCACTCAGCATAAATATTGGAAACATGCCTAAGGACCAGGATCATGAAAGCTTTGTCACAGACTTCTACTCGGATCTTCAAGTGACTAAAGACGACGAATTTGGAACATTTCATGTGAAAGCCCTGCAGTTGAGGGAAAGGAACTTGCTGAAGCGATTGGACAATCCCGCATCCCCGTACCCATATCCTGAAGATCCTGAAAGCCCCTTAGAAGTGGGAAGTGTAGTGAAAGGAACCGTCATCATTGTGCCATACAATGTCCTCGTAGAACCATTTTTTATGGTCAACTCACATGATGTTTTTAAGGTAATCAAAATCTTTTGTTTCATATTTCGAAAATCATTTTAACGATTTGTATATTTTTAGATGAGCACGCAAGGATTTTTCCTAGCAAGCCTGGTAGAAAAGGCTCTGTTTCCTGAGGATGTCAAAGGATATAATTGTCGGAAATACGACCAATTCCTGGCTATATTTGATGACCAAAATCTGTTGAAAAACCGATCCTCCTGCAACTACGATGATTACTTCAAAACTCTGAAGGAATTGGTTTTCCTTAACCTAGTCCACGAAGCCTATTTCTCCGAAGGATCAGGATTCAGTCAGGTGCAGCCCGCTTTCACCAAGATGTCCTTGGAGCAGCTCTTCTTCCTGAACTTTGTCCAGACCATATTTAACAACAATGTCTACTGGGAAAACGATGGAGTTGCCTACAATCCACTCCTTCAGCTGACATCCTTTTCCAGGGCCTTCAATGTTTCATCATCCGTTTAAATTGACAAGGTTTTTGTACAAAAAATATCAATATTCAAAAAATAAGAGAATAATAATTATGGTGAATGTTTTAAATGTCTTATTTGATTATTTATTTTGGGAGGTGTACAGCTTGACCTATGCCTGATCTCATCTGCTATCAGTCACTTGCGGCACTGGATTAGTCATACAAAATATTTCAGGGTGATCAGTTTTTTGGCGGAGATGATACGAACATCAAGTATAATTCCATGGTTGGGATACCTGTTAATTTTGGGGCTATCCGACGGAGCAAGAATACGAAAGGAACTAAACTCCTCCAATTCTGATGACCGAATAATTTTCGGTCGATTACTTGCTGCCATGGACTCGTCGGCGAACCCTCTCGATGACTTCCACACATATTCAAGCGGGAATTACGGATCCTCGGGTAATGGTGTCAATAGGAATTATAGACTGCATGTGGCCACTCAGGAGAAGATCATTCCAAAGTTCCTGGCAGTGTTTCAAAAACTAAAAAACAGTTCCTATGAGTCCGGAAGTCTCGAGGAGAAAGTTTTCCGATTCTACAATTTGTGTGAAAAAGATGCGAGAATTTCCATCACGGATGTGCAGCCGGATGTAAATCTCTCATGGCCATTTAACACGACTGAAGGTAGTCAGTGGCCCAAGGAGCAGTTCCAGTGGCTCAGGACTCTCGCCCATTTGCGACGCTACGGTATGAAAAACGCCATTTTCCGGATGAATCTCAAATGGGATGCGGAAAATTCCCTCTACCGTGTGGTAATCAAGAAGCCAAAGTTTGCCACACATAGTGACTATGTAGATCTCGAAAAAGAAGATTTGATTAAGATTGGATACAGGGACACTCGAGCGGAATCCTTGGAGCACGATATAGAGAGTCTTCAGAAGGATATTAGAGACTTGGTTATAGAAGCAGAGGCTACTATTCCCCAGACTTTGAGCCTAATAGAACTGGAAAGTAAACTTGGAGTCCTACTTAGTTCGTACTTCGAGATTGTTTTTGGTCATCCCTTGCCTCTCAGCTTCCAGGTGGAGGTTGATGACATGGACTATCTAATCAAGATAGTTAAGCTTATAAATAGGAAAGACCCGGAGGTGGTGGCCACTTATCTACTGGACCGATTTGTTATGTTTATAAAGTCATCGTCTCGATTGGAGGGTCTTTGGAATCCAAAAGGCATTTGCATTCAAATTTTGAGGACCTCCATGGAGTTCGCCAGCAATCTTCTTTTTGAAGAGAATATTCTGGGCGCGCAGAAACTAAAGGTGTTCCAGACTGAAATGGATCGTTTATTCGCAGCCGTTCAAAAACAGTTTAATTTTCGGTTGGACAGGAGCTCTTCCAATCTTTCCTTCACATCGTCCTTGCGGAAGAAGCTAAGCTTTATCACCATAAATATTGGAAACATGCCCAAGGACCAGGATCATCGACGCTTTGCCACCGAATATTACTCAGATCTACACTTTAATAATGACACCGAATTCGCAACGATTCATTTGAAGGCCCTCGAGCTGCGGGAACGTAATTTGCTTATGAGATTGAACAAGCCCACATTGGCGTATCCTTACCCTGAAGATCCTGAAAGGCTCTTTGAGGTAGGAAGTGTGGAAAATGGAAATGTTATCATCGTTCCCTACAATATTTTAGTGGAACCCTTCTTTATGATTCATTCCGATGATGTTTTTAAGGTAAATTGGTATTTTTGTTTGCCATTTCAAAATTAATTTAATTTTCTTATTAATTTTCAGATGAGCACGCAGGGCTATTTACTGGCAAGTCTGGTGGAAAAGGCTTTGTTTCCCGAGGAAGTTCGAGCACATAATTGTCAGAAGTATGACCAATTCCTGGCCATATTCGATGACCAGAAGCTGTTGAAAAACCGATCGTCTTGCAACTACGATGATTACTTCAAAATATCGAAAGAATTGGTTTTACTGAATCTAGTCTATGAAGCTTTCTTCTCGGAGGGATCAGGATTCAGTCACTCGCAACCCACTTTTACCAATATGTCCTTGGAGCAGCTATTCTTCCTAAGCTTTTCCCAAAATATATTTGGCAACGACGATTGGTGGAAACATGATTCGATTATTTATAATCCATTACTTCAGCTGACCAGCTTTACCAGAGCCTTTAATAGTTCTAAATTGGCTTAAAAATTCAATTTGATTGCAATTCTTAAAAATTCATTGCACATTGTTTAATAAAAATAACTATATTAAATATATTCGACAAATAGATAAAAATCCATCAATTATTATTTGAATCGCTATTTTAGTATTATAAACTTTTAATATTCTCTTATATTTTAATGAGCATTTTTATGTATATTATATATATAAACAAGAAAGGAAAGCTAACTTCGGGTGGAGCCGAAGTTGATATACCCTTGAGGTTAAGATTCGATATTTATCGCAAATATTGCATACAGTAGGCCGACCCTTATTATAATTATAATATTTTCTCCATTTTTTCGCGAAAGGATCCCTTGAAAATGGGGTTTTCTCCTATAGGGTACATATCTTCCTCAATCCTGATGCGATTCTCAAGCGGAGTACCTTATATGATTTATAAAATCGTTATGAAAGTTGGTATTAATATATATATATTTAATATATATATTATATAATACATATATATACTATATATATATATTAAACATTCATTAAAAACTGTAAAAAAGGAGATAGTTGCGCTTAAAAGAATGTTAACTATTTCTCTTGTAATTGAATTTTACATACTTTTCTTTAATCGGTTTTACGTATCAGTTTCGGTTGGCACATTTTAAAAATATTGGAATATTTTAAGCGATAAGGCCTCTGTTTTGAGATTCTTGTATAAAAGAGACGGTTTCTCTTCAGTTGCCACCAAACCCAATCGGGAAATAGTTATTTATTAAACTCAAACTCAAAATGTTTTTAAAAAGTATCTTCTTTTTGATTGCAGTCGGTCTGAGCTCTGCAAATGAATTACGTCGGCCCGAAGGACGAATTATTGGAGGTACATATGTGCCCATTGAAGATGTCCCTTGGCAAGTTGCTCTATTAGTAGGTACAAGTCATATATGCGGTGGATCCATCTACAATAAATGGACTATTCTGACTGCCGCCCATTGTGTCTATGGGGAGATAACAGAACACGTTTCTATCCGTGCTGGCTCTTCACTAAAAAATTTCGGTGGTCAGCACGTTAACGTTTCCAAAATTATTATCCATGAAGAATTTAACAAGGAAACTTTGGACAACGATATTGCTCTCCTTATACTAGAAAAACCTCTTGATACGAATAACACATTAATCAAGCCAATCGAACTTGCCCAAGAACCTCCGAGTCCAGGAACTAATGTTCTGGTCACTGGATGGGGATCTATGTACAGTAAACCTCTTGACTTTTATCCGCAAATATTACTTGGAGTAAACCTAACCGTTGTGGACACTGCCAGTTGCCGAGAGAAGTACAACCTAGAACTTCCTAAACCCGTAGTTTGTGCACACCAAAGCGGCAAGGACTCCTGCCAAGGTGATTCCGGAGGTCCTTTGGTGACCTGGCCCAACCCCAAACTGGTTGGTATTGTGTCTGGAGGACCACACAATTGTGCAACAACTTATCCTGGATTTTATACTGACGTTGCGTCATTCAGGGATTGGATTCTAAAAACCATTAACAAACTTTATTAAATTATTTAAATTTATTTAAATTTTATTAAATTTGTTGATAAATGTAAATAATGTAAAGTGTGAATACAAGTTTTCAAATAAACAAAATATCTTACTCTAAAGATCTGTTTGAAACTCGGCAGTCGACTTTCACCTGTCAGCATGTCCGGCATTATCGTTTTTCTGTGTCTTCCAGTCATCGATTCCGGTTTTTGTTTCCCCTGCGTCATGTGTGTGGTATCCACAAGCTAATACTCCATATAAAGGTCTTTAGCAAGAAACTACCACTACTTCATATCGTGATCTGTTATCCGTAATTGGGGTCGGCCCTGCAATGTCCAGGGCAGGTAATCAAGTAAAGCTCGCGTCAATTCATTCATCATCCTTTTCAAATGGCTTCAAGACCGAGGAGATACTACCGTCGTCATCATCACCGCTCCCGAATCCGAAGCCGACGAAGAGGCCCCACATCCTGGAACTGCACGAGATATTCCTGATGCACGATAACCGCGGTGACAACAAGATCTCCATCATCGACCTGGGTGACTGCCTTCGAGTGATGGGCGCCAATCCCAGCGAGGCGGTCGTCAGGGAGCACATGAGAAAGCTGGAGGCTGGTGGCCTGCCCAGGATCTCTTTCGACGAGTGCCTGGCCGTGTACTATAGCCTGGGGAAGCATGCCAGTCGATTGAGCTCCCGGCGCCGGGAAATTGAAAGGGATCAGCTCATATCCGGATTGAGGCTTCTCGACCCTGAAAACTCCGGTTTCCTGTCCGCCAAACAACTGATCCACATACTGACCCGCTGCGGCGAGTGTCTGGGCCAGGTGGAGGTGGACGAGCTCCTCCAGGGCCGGATCAACGACAAGGGCATGGTCAACTACAAGGATCTGATGCAGTTCATAGTGTCGGGCTAGGGGGGAAGTCGAGGCGAGGACGCGGAAGGAAAGCCCAGAAAGTCATTTTATTAATTGACAGGTGAAAGTTGTTTCCAAATAAACAGTGTATGTTACAATTCCCAGGCAGGGGAAACTAAATCCTTTTTTTATTGGCTAGTTGGATAAATATCTAATATCCTTTGATATACCATCAATGATTGGAGGTCGCATTCATAGGAAAATTATTTCAAAGCCCAAATACACTTAATAATGCACTAAAAAATCAATCCCCAGCCAGGCTCCCCAGCCATCATTATTCATCCAGTGTACCACGAATGGTCCTCATCAATTGTTCACCGAATTCGTTGTTCCGCAAGCATGTCCATGTCCTTTTCCACTGGGAGAAAAATGGATGACCCAAAAACACAGCTCGTGGCAGCATCCGACAGCTGTGTTCATCATCCAGTCCCAGAATAAGTGCAATTGATTGCAAATAATTTCAATGCGTTGCCAGGCGTAATTCCAAATCCACTATTTCGCATCCTGGCCAGCCTTGGTCAGCGCTTTGGCCAGGATGTTGGGCGTTATTGGGAGGATTTATGGATGTGGATAGAGAGCGGATAGAGAGTTGTGGTGGTGGTCGTGTTGGCAATAAATGCGAAAACATGCACTGCCTTTGGATCGATGGGCAGCATATGCAAATGCTGTCAAAAACATTCCAATTGCTGGCATATTTCCGACACATTTCGGTCGGATTCGGTTTTCGGGGCCAGGGATACATTTTTGAAAAAGTCCAAAATACAAAAAAAAAAAGAAGGATAACGAAAACAGGCCATAAAAGTCAAAATCAATTGGAATAGATTCATTCAAATGGAAGAAGGATGGAGTTGCTCAGCGTGAGTCCGCAGCTATTAAATTTTTATGCCCCGTACGATCGAATTCAGCGAAGGATATTGACTTTACTGAACCCCACCGACAGTGTGGTCTTGTTTAAAGTGAGTTTTTAATTTCTTCAAAATAAATATTAATCGGATCTTCCCAATAGGTCAAGTCAAATGCGTGGAGACACTATTGTGTTAGTCCTATTGCTGCCAGAATACAGCCCTATGACACCCACGAGGTCAGCATCAGTCTGAGGTACTTTGACTTCGAAGAGAAAAAGAAATACACACATCGTTTCTGTATCCAGTCCATGTACGATCCTGTGGATCAGTGTAAGACTGTGAAAGTGCTGTCCATTTTCCGCAAAGCCTCGCCTGGTGAAATTTCCACCCTATCCCTGCCCGTTCACCTTGAAGCCAAGCCGATATCCTTGTCGAATCCTTATGTGATCTCCACGCCATGTCTGAAAAAGATTGCCATCGAACAGGATGAAAAGCTAAGGCCATTGTGTTCCAAGTGTCCAGATCGATTGAAAATTTCCAAAACTGAAGCACCCTATGAGAAGAAAGGAGTGCTATCCAAGCTTATTCTTGTTGGCTCCTTTATTGGAGGTATGCAGGGTATAGTTCTCTTAAGGAACTATTTCAAACTTTAAATCGTATATCTTAGTTATTCTTACAGCTTACTTTCAACGTCAGATGATGCAGGAATTTATAATGAAGAATTTTTTTCCAGATTAGGTGAGCCACATGATTAGGTGTAAAAGTATTAATTATTAAATGGTTTAGCGTTCATTTTATTTATTTTCCTTGATCCAAAGACGTGTGAGTAGAGGGTCTTTGACTAAGGCTTAGGGGTCTACATTTTTTATAGCTACGGCTTAAGTATAGTGTGAAATGTATTATATGGTAACATATCTGGTAAAGCTCCAACTCATATATGGTAAAGCTCCAAACACAGTTTTGTTGCCTTCGAAAATAGAACAGAACACGTAGAAATTCCATACTCAAAGGAAACTTCAATCCTTCAACTAATGTCAGTGCCTCTCGGTTTGGATCAGGTAACCGCCACTTCATCTTTGGACCACAAATCAAGAGAGGCGCTGTTTGGGTGGGGGTGGGGGCGTGGCCATTGGCTAATTGGCAGCCGTAGTTCATTAGTGTGCGAGTCACACGCTGATTAGGCGGCGGGAATCAGGACTCGGATGCGGTTGCAATTTCGGTGTCACAGCCACAGCCACAACAACAATAGCAATCAAACGAAATTGATGGCCTGGAATCGGGATGCAAATTAATTGGCTAAGAGTAGTTTATAAGATAATGGAACAAGAAGGTTTATATATTTTTTCCTTTTAATCCCATATAGAAAATATTTTATTCATAAAACTGAAAAACAAGACTGTTAACAAGGGCCTACAAAGTGATCACAATGCCGAAAGACTTACTAATCTCAGCTTAAAAACTTACCGCAAAAACTCCTGACTCCTGAAAGGACCAACCGTGCGACAAACGACCCAGTAGTGTGGTGAGTCCCTGGGGGAAATTCCCATCGCATTCATTGGAGATGGAAAACAAACAAGATGCGACGAGGCCATAAATTAGCATCACTTAAGTGGCCAGATGAGAGCCGGGCAGGAGAAAACATTGGTTTTCTCGGAGGGGCGTGTAATCCTTTCAACGATTAATTGCAACCTGCCCGCCCACAGAGACGAAGGACATCAGGGTTCTGGGGAGGATTTAGATGTGAATATAAATGGCTAATCAGACGGGAAAACACACACAGACACGAATGTCATGTGGGACATCTAATGATATCCACAAATCCCCCAAAAACTCAATCAATTGTTTTCGCAGAGGGTTGTCGCGTTCAGAAAAATATATGCAGATATAAATTAGAATAAATAATATCTATAATAATATTAATGTCTTAATAAGCAAACAAAAAAATAGAAACTAAAACAGAGTCTTAAACTCTTCCTCTAAGGATTAACTTTACCTTGATTCACTTTCCCTTCCATTAACCATATTTTTCCCATATATTGGGGATACGAACTTGAAACCATAAATCCTTTTTATGGCTTTCCATTACACTGGATATTTCAACGGAAAATTGTGTCACTTTTTTTAAAAACCTTAAAAATTATACACTTTTAAAGCAGATGTTATGTGAATTCTTCAAAGAAAGTGTAACTTCGGCCAACATCTATTCATATATTTAAAGGTTCAGATATCTGAATGTTATGGTTATTTTAAAAAAATTGAATAATTTTTTAGAAAATGTGTAAAAAAAGAGTATGAAAACTGCGACTTAAATCATAAACTTATACCCCTACACTGGTAAGCCATTTTTATGTACGCAACTGTTTTTTCGCACTAGGCCACACATTTGTGCAGCCTGTCGCCAATCGGTGACTTATTGCACTTTCCCCCTTCCAGCTCCTTTCGTCCTTGGCTTTTCCCCCACAATTTTCAGGACTTTCCCAGGCCACGACAAGCAATGCAGTCAACTGAGAACGAACTGGGCAAATAAAAAAGGGAAAGCGAGGAAAAGTCAAGAAAAATGCCTCTAGGGATGGTAAAAGGTAGATGTCTCTAAATGGCGGTAAAAAACTTTAAAAAATTATTAAGATAATACATTTAAAATATAATAATACATTTTTGAATTTCCTTAAATAACATTATGTGTAGATGTGTATCTTTGGTGATATTTTTGGGCATCCTTACTCACCCACCTGCCAGAAACCTTGACATATTCGTGGCTGCTTGCCTTTTCTTGACTTTTCCTTCATCTGCCCTGATATCCTTGCTCCTTTCGCGTTTGTTTAGCCTGGTTGTTGTTGGTCCTTAAACATTTTTAATGACTTGCAGTGCATCCAAAGGAGCAAAAAGTCCTGTCAAAGGGCTCAAAAAGGGCAAGGAGCACTGGCAAAGTTCAAAGCTTTGACGTTTCATTTTCGGTAAAGGCCTACCGACTTAAAACCTATTTTAAATTTTATTTAAAGAGTTAATATGCAAATAAATACAATTCAAATGTTTGAGCAAAAAACATCAATTATTCCATGCACTCGCGGAAGTGTTAATTTGAAGAGCGTCAGTTTGAATAAATCCCTTTATTTTCTTTCCAACAGATGCGCCCACTAACGTGTTTGTTTCGTCAATTGGCCGAGAGTGCCGGTCGGGGATCGGGCCACTTCAAAGCGATATCATGTCAGATGCAATGCAAATTATTGCACTTAAAAAAAATTCAGACACAAAAGCGATAAAACGAGACCAAAATAATATGCAGGATGGGGGGGAATATGGAGCGTTCGCTGGGAAACGGATGACAGAGGCTTACGCATCGCTAAATATTAAAGTGGCAATGAATACAAATTGTCTCGTCAAAAGCTCCTGCAATCCTTTTTCCTTTGGCAGATGCCGGACAATGAGTGCCAGGCTTGTGCGTGTCTGAGTGTGTCTGTGCACAAGGATATTTGCAGGAGTGACCCACTTGGGGGAATTGATTGAGTAAGCATTTAAAGGGATAACTTTGATGGCAAAGCCGCCGCAAGGATTCGCCCAAGCAAAGTGAAGTGAAGTGTAGTCCTGTGCCTGGGTCTGGGAAACTTTCAACCTAAGTGATTCTTAGTTAGTTAATTGGATCGACTATGTTTGTTCAGCTTCCAGCTCTTGCTCCTAATATGGAAATTTATGGGGCTAAAAGTTAAGCGTAAGTGGGCGAAAACTTTTTCCAGCCAGCAGCTGTTTTATTTTCTTCCTTTCTTGTTTTGCAAAAGTTGGGCCGAACATCAAGTTCATTGACTACAACTACCCGGGCTGTCTGCTTTAATAAGCCGGCCAATTAGACCAGTCCATCTCTTGAGTCCACTAATCTTTAAATTCCACTCGAATGCTCGGCAATTCCAAACAATTCAAACGCCCCCGCATCCTTCAAAATAACAAGAATCTCCAACAGATTAGGCCATGGCCTAAATCAAATCAAATATTTGACGGAATGGAAGGATCTGTCAGAAGCGGAAAAATATTCATTTATTTGTTCAAGTGTCCAGCAGAACCATTAATACCCAGTTTCCCACAAAAAAGTACAAATTCAATTGAAGAAATAAATTAATCTTTAATTTGCGGCAAGTGAATTATACTCCAGAAAATTATTGTTAATGACTGAGCTTGGCCAGGAGACTCTGGAATTCTGGCTAATGGCATTTTAATTTGTGTCGAACGAAGGCAAAATCAGGGAGCTCTTTAAGAAATTCTGGAATTGAAGAGCCCTTTAACCTGACAAGGCATTATCCCACCGTAAGAACTTCATTTGGAAATCAAGAGCTCAGCGGTTAAGTAGCTTACAAGGTGCCATAAGCTTCTCTTCGGCAAGGTGTTGGCCATTCGATTGGATGGATGGGTGGTCGGATAACCACAGCAACATCAGCTATTACTGGGCCAACTACGAATGAGCCCGTAAATATCCGGAACACAATGAAATGGAACCATGTCAAGAGCTAATAAGCAGCCTCATTTGGAATTGGATGGGATTCGGATTGGCACTGGTATTGGGAACAGAGAGACTATAGGCCGGGAAAGTTCGTTAAGCCCTCGCTCTCTCGGTGTAAGTTAATTAAAACGCAAACAGTCAAATGGCAAATGATCAAAGTGCCAAAGACACTGGCCCGAAAGAGGTAGGGGGCTGACGGGTGATGCCTATATTGGCAAATCACTTTGCACCGCAAACAAAGTCCACTAAGCTGGCATTCGAAGTTGAGCTACACCACCCACACACCTCCACATGGAATACCATGCCACATCCACTTTCCATGTTAACTGCAACATGTGTCAACTGGTTTTGCGGGTTGTTCGCCGGGGGAGTCACTATCCACTGGGCTGGGATAGTTTCGAGGGGTAAATGGTGACTATGGTTTAGGCTGCTTAACCATTGTAATGTCAGGGTTACGGGAGAGTGGAGGGGGAATGTGCGGTCCAAACCACACACACCTCGCACTGGCTTTCCTCGGTGAAATTTATTGGAGCACATCAATTCGAAAGGCTTCACAACTCTGTCCGCCAAAATCCGCAGCAGGACAACACGATTTTAATTGATAGGGATCATGGAGATGGCTTGACATCTAACTGGAGGCAATTACAAGGACACTGCTTTCGAAACTATACAACATAAAGCTTCTATTTTATTTTTAAATTGTTTTCAGCTAATATTGCATTAGATGTGCTTTCAATCCAGCCCCTTAGGGCTGGAACACTCGCGTAGACAGTGGGAAACAGAGGATCGGCACAGTCCCCGGCCCAGGACACTATGCCCACCTGATGGTTATCCAAGACCAAAGCTCCACCAGAGTCGCCCCGACAGGTACCTCTCTCCTCAGCCGTGGCACAAAGCATCCTTTCCGTTAAGGTATTGTAGTCAGTGTACATTTCTTTGCATTTTTCAGGATCCACTATTTTACTTTCCAAATACTGCAGCACTTCCGGGTTGCCGTATTCCGTGTATCCCCAGCCGGTGACAAAGGCTTGAGATCCTGGCGTTGGTACATCCTTTGCCAGTTCAATGTAACTAATGCTATCGTAGCTTCTTAGATCAAGTGGCTCACTTAAAACCACTAGAGCCACATCGTTGTCATATGAAGTGGAGTCGTAGTCTTCATGGCAAACAATCGAGGACACTGCGATGAGAAATCCATCGAAATCCATATAACTGGAGCCCACACGCACCTCCAAGTCCTGTGGGTAGTCTTCAATCACACAATGAGCAGCGGTCAGGATAATGTAAGGACTTAGTATGGAGCCACCGCAGTATTTACCGCTCCAGGCCTGAATCGACACTTGCCAGGGGGCGTCCTCGATAGAAACGTCCTCGCCGCCAATAACTTTCCGATTTGGAAGAGGCTTGCAGAAGGCCAAGTCAGCTACTACAAACAGAAAGACTAGTAAGTTGTATTTAAGCATTTTAAGAATAAAGTTTTACTTAAAATAGCTTCAAGTTAAGCTCTAAGTTTTCTTTTATAGGTTTGATTTCAAAGAATGCGGATACATTTTAAAAAACTATAAGGAAGTTTTTATAAGATAATGCTAAAATATTATTTAAGAATGTTAACTAATCCACATAAATCTAAAAATATTATAGTTAATAATAGTCTCTCTAAAAAAAGGTCTAATTTCGACCAAATTTCTCTTAATTTCCCTCGCTCTCTTCGGGCTAGGAAATTTGGTGAGTTTGCGTTGAACTGGGAAAGGCAAAGAGCTCTCCGATAAGGTCTAAAAATATGTGTAGGCTTGTGTGTTTCAGCAAAAATCTTTTTGCCGGTTTGTTTATCTTACATCTGAGGTTTTTTATACGTTTTTTTAGCCGGCATTTATAGCCCATTCAGAAGAGAAACAAAAGTGTGTCTGAGTATTTGTTTGAGTTTGATTGCGAGTGCGATTTGAGCTGGCAATTGATTGTTGTTTTTTTTAAAGCCAGACTAAAAATATTTGCTATATCGATTGGTCCGAATTTTTTATTTAGTCAATGCCGCACCTCTGATAATAATTTAGAAATTAATGTTGAAATTTATTGACAATAATTTATGCTTACGACTGGGTCCATTCGTTGGGCCATAATTCAATTTATGCCCCGTCGGCAACCTCATAACCCAGTTTAGAGCCCGGCTGAGATACACTTGGACGGCAAATATAAATATAAATCAACATGCTACTGCTGCTTTCAAATGGCATGGGTGTGGGGTCAGAAAAGAGTGACCGACCGGGGCAATGGTCAGAGATAATATCTAGAAAGTTTGCGACGGGAGGGCCACAAAATGTGGGCCAAATGAGGGGAGGAGCAGCCATAGAAGTGGCTCAATGAGACCCACTTGAACCGAAAGCCCCAACAAATGCCTAGCTGGGCCGAAAGATTTTTAGTTATTTAGAAAACCGCAGAGTGCAAAATGCCTGCCGAATGTGCCAATTTCCCACTCCCCCCGGGAGGATGAAAACAATTAAAAATTCGTGTCAAAATACGACAAACGAGTACTTTCAGCCAAAGAGGTGGCAAGCATTTTAAATGCATTTCAAGGTTCGTGCACCGCACACGCAATGTGGCACAGCGATTGCGTGGTGCAGCACACCGCCGATCCGAAAGGTGGGCTGGTTCATTTAGCGCAAATTAATTTTAAATTACAGAAACGCCGTGGTTTCGCCGATCCATCACCGGGCGGGTGGTTGCCTTTAATTAATTGCATTTATACCACCTCGTAAATATACATTTCAGCTTTTTTTTCTGGCATGCCCCGCCCTTAATTATAATTTGCATTTAATTTTTGCACCACTTTTGGTTATGCTTCGTTAATTGCAATGCCGTCACATGCCCGGGGTCAAACATGGGTCAACAGGCCCAAACAATAAACAAACTAAGAAAAAACCTTACGTATACGCCATGTATTTTTAAACATCTAGGGTGCCATCTAATGTAACTGTGTAACTTGTGCCATGTGCTATTAAATAAGTTTTTAATTGAAATCAATATTTCAAATGCTATTAATTTTAAATTTTATGGGATAATAATTTAATATTCGCAAACTAATTTAAGTTTGAAACATTCGTCTTCGTCTATCCTAGACTTGTCCCTCCTAGAAATACAATTTGATTTAATTTATCTTAAAGGATAGAAGCCCCCTTCTGTTCGCTGGTATTTTTGAGTTGAGTTCTTTGCAATTTTGCGGCACTTGACTTGCTCGGTTTATTGACACGCCCCGCACACGTCAATCATTCAATGACAGACATCCAAACACTCGACTTGAGGAGCAGATTGACAGACGAGCCCTGAATCTCCACCATAACATACTATATACTACATAGTACTTTTCCCTGGCTTTTCTTCGCCTCTGTTGCCTTGAATTGCCCCAGAATCTCGATGGATGTTGCATGCCCCAGACACGCTGCAGCTCAAGTGCAACTCAACCCCTCGTCGATCCAGTAGACGACTGTTTTCGTTGTTGTTGCTGGGCCAAATATTTTGTATTCAATCCAAACATTTGTCAAGCCATTCAGCCAGACATGTGATGTTGAATGCTGACTGCTGCCTGAAAGTGATTTTCGATTTGCAAAATTGATTCGATTCTGAATGGAATCGACTTTGTGGCACTGTCCATACACATATGAGTTGTTATGGCATTTTGTTTCCAGCAAACATAATTCGACGCAAATACAGGGCTAATGAGCCATGAAAAGCTCTCCACGTAATTCGCTCTGAAAGTCTGTAATTAATGCCATCAGTAATTTAAATGTCAATCTGGAAATCTCATAGATAAAAATCAATATAAAAAACATTCCTATAATAATAATAAAATTAGAATGGATTTATTATTCGACTAGTGACTGGTAAATTATAATCTAGCTTTGGAAATGTTTTGTTTTCCCCGATTTTCTTCGGCCTGAAATTAACGACTCGCGCGCTTTGTTAGCCATTTGTCAAATTAAGTATACGCCATGGTGCCACATAAATTCCCACAGATAGAGAACGGCCGCGGCCTGGTAAACGGATACTTTGTCTTGCTCGAATTTTAATTGAGTACATTATAGGGATGGTCGGCATGTTAAGAACCTTTTCTGAATATTAAACGCCATTAAGTGTCCCCCAATCGGCCATTTTGACTAAAAGGACTTTTTCCACTTCCGTTTCGCCGCTGATTGATTGCCGGCCATTTCGTAATTAGTGACACATTTAACCATTCATTCAATTGGGCCATGTTTGCTTGCGGGCCGCACATGTTTGCACATTTATTTGCCTTTTGTTTTGCCAACTGCCTCTGTCTCGGCCAACTGCCACTGCTACTGCCATTGTCAAGTGAAAACATACCAGCTTCCAGGCCGATCAGCCTGTTCAATTAACAGAAAATTCTCAAATTTGCCATCCGACAAATTTGCAAATTTTGGGCAAATAGCAATATGAGTAAATATTTGCCGAGGTCTTTAATTAAGGTCCAATTAAAATTGATGTAATAAACCACAAGCATCTGTAATCAACTTCCGTACAAGAAGGTTATATTTTAAATGACTTTTTAATTAATTTGATGAATATTTTAAAACTTGAAGAACATCTCACTTGTCAATTTAATTAAGATGGTTTTGTATTAAATGCTTATTAAAAGTGTTCTAGTCTAGACTACAGAAACAGAAACTTAGTTAGTTTTAAAAAATATTTTTAATCTATTTAAGAAATTTATCTTTTAAAATTTATGTTAAACTTCTTGACCCTAAAGTTTCTGTATAAGCTATTTCTACCAAACTATTCCATAAATCATCAAGTTCAAACGAAATTGCCCAGAAATCCTAAGCCATCCCGAAAGTCTTTGCATAAATCTCAGCAAAAACTTTTGAAAGCTTCACTAAAATAAAAATGCATGAAAATGCTAAAAAACAATGGAATAAAAATTATTATAAAAATATTGAAATTATACGACAGACTTTCTTGTTATTTTGTTACGGGCCAGGAAACGCAATGGAAAACAATAACTAGGCCAGGCCAACACTATTTTCATTTGGCTCGGCCAACTGGGAAAGTCAACCGCCATCCGGCAGTGACTCCGGCTTTTTGCCTAGACCACGGCTGTGACTACGGCTCTGACAACGTTTTCCGTGCTTCATTCTACGGCTCCAGCCAAGCCAGTTAACCGCAATAATTTATGCCTTTGAGCCGTGTTCAAGTCAAAGTCTTTTGTGTTTGTGGGTGTGTTGGCTCTGTGAGTGTGTTGGTCTGGTCCTTGTTTCTGTGTTTGTGTGTGTGTGTGTTTGGCAACATAATTTTGCCTATTAAAGTAAAACACTAACAGCGCTTATCATTACAGCGTTGCACACACCACGGGGAAAACAACAACACTAACACCACAACAACAACGTCCATCTCAGTTACATAGCGCATCCTTTCGTCGCCGCCATTTTGTTTAGTTTATTCCATGGTAGTGTGTGTGTTGTGCTTGTGAGTGTGCCGGGGGAGTCTCTGCCTCGCACTTCCTAATGCAAAAAAGCGACTTTTCAGCACAAATTTTTAGCAAAATTAAAATATTTATGTTGCCGACGTGCTTAATGCCCGTGCTGTTTCACTCACCTCCCCGTTCCCCATATCCCCTGTCGCAGCATCACTTCCAAATACACCATTACCCTCGCCTCGCAGAAAAGCCATCCAACCATACCATTCTCTTTAGTTTTTCGGAGTGTGTGGGTTTCCCGGTCGTGACTACGTGCGTGGTCCCTATTCCGGATCCAGACGATGATGAGCAGCGGTTTTTGTACCCTGTCCAGGGGGAGAAACGTAACTGTTTTCAGTATTACCCTTCTAAAGGTGGTCACATATTACGGTATTCTTAAAGTTAAGGTCCTGGAGACGTAATGCTTTAAAGAATGTTTTAAAGACAGGGTTACAAATATTTCTTTCTTTGTTTCAAAATATACTTTATTGAGTCCTCTCAATATAATATTTATTATATCAGGGAACATATGTTTATTTTAGACTAATTCATCAAACTATACATTTTTTTATTATTTTCAATAAAAAACATATCTAATACCTAAACTGACAATAATAATTCAAGTACCATGGCTGTTCAAAAAGTGCATTCTTTATTCGATATGATAATTATACATTCCTTTCCTGTTTTAATGCAACTGCACTAACACAGACGCACACAGCCTCCCACACTGTCACGCACACAAAGGCAACTGCCCTGCATTAACATCCTTCCTGTGTCCAAAGAACGACAACGCCGGGCGACACTGCCACTTAATGTTCGCGCTTTAGCAATATGAGATGCGGAAAACTCGCCGCCCAACCCGTCCGTGGAAGAGCTGCAGTTACAGCCATATTAAAAACAATATATTTGCGTCAACTTGCGCCCCGGCCATTTATGGGCCCTTCAATGGCCATTAACTATTTACATTTCTGGTTGCACTTTGTACTCGCCGATGATTAA